AGCTCATCCGGGCCTGCTGACTTAAAGGCATCCAGTTCCTTCAAGTGACCCTGCACCATCTCAGGGTCTACGCTTGGTAGTCTGGTGTCCTGCTGCTGCCTCTCTACAATCCCAGTGAGAGCCTTGTCTTGCCCCTCGCTTAGGAACACTGAGGCAAAGAACTCGTTGAGTTCAGCCTTGTCCCCCCTGTCCATCACCAATTACTTCTGCCCATTTAGTAGGGGTCCTAGTCCACCCTGGGCCTTCCTTTTACTCCCTATATATCTAAAAAACAATTTTTTATTAGCCTTAACTTGGGATGCCATCCTCAGCTCCATGGTAGCTTTGGCCCGTCTAACTGCCTCCCTACAGGCGCGAGCAGAGGAGGTATACTCCTCTTTAGTAATCTCTCCCCATTTCCACTTTTTATATGCTCCCCTTTTAGTCCGCAGGCTGCCCTGGATTTCTCTGGTCAGCCAGGGAAGCCTCCTGGCCCCTTTCCCTCTTTTTCCTCGCATCGGGATCGTCTCCCTCTGTGCCTGAAGGATCATTTCCTTAAGGCACAGCCACCCTTCCTGGGCTCCCATCTCTTCAAAACTCCTACTCTGCAGTGCGTCCGTGACTAATCACCTGAGTTCATTGAAATCAGCTTTCCTAAAGTCTAGCACTTTCACCCTACTAGTTACCTTACCCACTCGACGTCTTATGGTGAATTCTATTATTTGGTGATCACTGTCCCCCAGGTGACTACCAATCTGTAGGTCCCCTACCATATCATCCCCCATTGCCAATACCAGGTCCAGTAAGGCATTCCCCCTAGTGGGAATGCCTAGTGATGACTTTCCTTTTGCTCACTTCCTCAAATGTCATTTGTCTCTCACTTTTTTTTTGTCCCTACAGGTTGTCATAGAAACCGATACATCTTCTTATGCCTTTAGGCTAATGTCATTTGATGATTTGGAGCAGATTGTCATCCACGTCACCATGTCGCTTAAAAAGGTCTTTCCAGATTCTTCACCTGGGTAAGGCTAGTCCTTATACATTTGCTCATCAGGGCCTGAGGTGTTTTACATACAGTGGGGCAGTCTGGTAGAGTTCTGCAGAAAGCCTCGCAATTCCCCTACTTAAGACCTACACTATCTTGCATACACGCAATTTCTATTTGGGGGCAAATGGACATGTATTACTGTGTTCCTTCAGTATAATGGACTAGTCATCACAAAGGGGCATAGGGAGTAACAAGGCAAATAAATCCAAAGGTTTCCTATTGAAACAAGCAGGGAGCTATTTTCTGGGTCTGTATGTAGCATGAGCCACTACATGTGGTTGAAGACACTTTCTGCCTCTTGCCTTTTCTTTGCCTAACCTTGGGTTATTTATTTTCTTAGGAAACTGCTCAAGAATTCTCCCCCCAATTTGTATGAGAGAATCCGAAAGACAACAGACTCCCTGGAGGAAATGCTGCAGAACAACCAAGGGCCTTGTGGTAAGCAACTTTTTTTTTGTGGACATGTATCAGAAGAAACCAAAAAATTCTATAAATAACCCTCTAAGATTGAAAGACTTGGGCCTAGCCAGGAGCTGTATGGTGTCAGCCTCTGCCCAAATATAAGACATGACACATAATGCACATAAAGTATATGTTGTTGGCACAAGTTAATATAATTCCAATCCCAAGATCTCAGAAAGACTGTGGGCTAGTGGAGGGTATAGGAAGGTAGACTGAATGGACTCTCTTTTTCTAGCCGTTGTCATAGGCTGGAGAACATGTATAAATACTATTGGTACCAGCTGTGGAGGCATTTCTTCTTATGTACTTAACTTCATTCACATGAGTAGTCCCTTTGAAGTCAAGTGTGCATATAAGGCAGAAGTCCTGTGGAAAACAGTTGTAGGTAATAATGTATGTGATGGCAGTGTAACTGTGGGGTGGAAGGGAAGCAGTCCTGGGCCTTTGTGAGGGTGGGACATAAAACTAGCTGCCCTGCTACACTTCTGGCATGCGATAAGATTGTCTTATGCTGTATATGCATAAAGGGGCGATTTAAAGTTCGCTGAGTCACCCTAATTCTGGTACTTTCTACATTTTTATGGCTCAGGTTTGCAGTTCTAACATAGATTAAGTATAGCTTTTTGTATGTTTTAGTACATGTATATAACACTGATTTAAAAAAAAAAAAAAGATTTCAAAAAGGTAAATGATAATGTTATGATCCAAGCATCCTCCTTTAATAAAAGAGTTTTGGCCTGAGAAAGTTGTGTTATATGTGATGTCTTGGTCCATGTTCCTTCTTTCACTGAGAGTATGTGTGTAGTGTTTTCATATCACTCTTGAGAGGAGTGCTGAGAAGCACAGTCCTGCCTACTTCTTCCTTTTCCACACACCCCAGACCCAGAAAGGAGGCGGGGAAGTATCAATGAGAGTGTCGCTGTCTGCCCTGCTGCTCCTCAAGATCTGGCATGCTTGAGAGTGGCAGTGGAGGCCTTCTTAGGAGCAGGCTTCATTGTCCCCACTCCAGGTCTGGAATGTGCAGAGTGAGCGTGGCCAGGCAGACCATGTTTCTCAGAGCATGTTCCTCTGTCTAGGAAGCTGGGAAAGTGGAATACATGCACGCTGAAGGAGTCAATATCAGACAGGAAGAGGTTCTCAAGTCCTGATTCGGGATTAGTTGGGGAAAGGCCTTATATGTCCTTTCTTCTGGCTTTCCTCCAGGGGCTTCTGATAATCTTTCTGTTGTCAATGTCGTCTTCCATTCATAGGTGGGTTTTCGGAGACGTATGCTGCTTTATGTGATTACAACGGCTTTGCCTTCAGGGAGGAGATCCAGTGGGTAAGCTTGTATGAAGAGTTGAAAGGAACAGTAGGATATTTATCAGTTAGCTTGTTCCAGGTGCCTTGAATGAAGTAATACATGCAATTTCTTCAATTGTTTCTAAATATTCCTTTGGGTCATCAGCACTCAGTGGCTTCTTGCTGGCAGGCTTTGCAAAGAGGCCAGGGGCTGACTTGGTCTTGGAGAGCCACCACCATCTTCTTCCCTTTGAGGTCATTTCCTAGAGTTAAAGCAAATTAGTGGAGATTTGAAGTGTTGGTGTGAGGAAGCCTATTCAGCTGCTGTCTGTGTGGCATTTGATCAATGTTTAATGGGGAGTCTTCAGTCTCGAGGGCTAAATATCTGGCACATGATGCTAGCACTGAATTCACTGAGAAAGAGGGAGAAGTGATTGTTGATGGTCTATGCCAGTCCTGCCTGGTCAGTTACTAGGTATATGGCCTGATGCTGTAGGGCTTGACCCTGCACTTGCTTACACCTGTGCTGTCCTGTACTGTGGCTTTCACTGGGGTAACAAAGAAAACAGCTCTTTCCTGAAGTTCTGTGAAAGGTGCTTCTGGTTACCTGATGTCGTAGTGGCCTTCTGTGCGCACAGAACAGCAATTTTCGAACTTCTTTGGACATGCACCCTTTTGCCTGAAAAATATTGCTGCTCATGCATGTTCACTGATGTCCATGTGCAGTAGTACCATTACTCACTGCATGTTGACCAATCAAAATCTCCACCACCATTGTTAAAATTTAGGCACGTGCCTTTGGCAAAGTCCTGCACACCCCACGGGATACACGTACCTTAGTTTGAAAACTGCTGCTGTAGAGCTAACAGGGAAGGTTGGGCTCTGCTGGAGCTTTTCCAAGTATACAGCACAGAGTGTGAAATGGCAGATAGGCTGGTTGCTCCTGCACAGTCCCCACCTGATGATAAAGTGAGTGCTGGGTTCTCAGGAGAGGAGTTGTCCATTAGCCTTTTGGCAGGGCTTGTCCTGGCCCTTGTGGCCTGGCAGACTGCAAGAAAACTACTGGGGGGGGGGGGGGGGGGGCCCCCCCCCCAGACGCGAAAAAAAAAAAACGGGGGGGGGGGGGGGGGGGACCCACCCCTCAAGGAATGCCCTCCTTCTTTGAGGCAGAGTCAGTGCTCTCCCATTACTCCACTTCTCTATTTATGTCCCCCTTCCCTCCTTTCTCCAGAGCGCTGAGCTATAGCTTACCCACTCCCTTGTTCTTCTGTTGCTGGGGGAGGCTGGTTATATTAACTCCTTTGGAAACATATGTGGTTCTGCTGACTGTGACAGCTCCTTGCATGCTTTTGGCATGTAGCTGGGATGTGGGACAGATTGGTCCCTGGTCCAAGTAAGATAGGGAAGGAACTTGTGAGGTTCTGGGTCTCACATCTCTTTTGTTTTGCCCTTTGCAGAAAAGGAACATTTTTGATATCCTGAAAACTTACTTGGAATGGGAAACCCATCTCCAACCTAGCACTACCCACAGAGCTTCAAAGCTATTAACATCCAGCTGGGTGGGTCAGAGCTGTGTTGAGAGTTAGTCTTACTTGTCTACCTGATCTCGTCCCAGCAAAGCTCGGAATCCACAGTGAAAGCAGTCAAGCTACAACAAGATTGGACTCCTTGACCTGGGCTGGATAAACTCAATGTAGTCAGCAATTTGCTCTGGGCACTAGATGGGTGACTTATGGCTTTTCTGTTAATGTATGGGACGTCCATTGTGGACTTAGCATTGGTAGTTCTCCTCACCCATGATGTTTCTTTTTTCTGCTGGCTGTTTTTTCTTGGGATGGCTGGTGATGGGCATATCTCCTGGGAAGTATTATGCCTTCTCACCTGCTAAATCCTCTCCTAGAAAGCCTACCACATACTCCAGCCATGCACAGGAGCTTTGCCTCATACTCTCCTCTGGCTTATAAATAAGCCGTATTTATTCTGTTGTCTCTCCTTTTCCTATAAGCATTAACTTCTGCTCTGGATGAGGTGATCACAGAGAGCTTGCTCCAGTGGCAAGCCTGCAGCCAGGCTGACAGCTCTGCTGCCCCCAGATCATTCGGGGAAGGACCACCTTGCAGTGAAGTTCCTAATCCAGTTTCATAGTTTCTAGGGGTTGGAAGGGACCTGAACAGATCATCAAGTCTGACCCCCTTCCCTGGGCAGGAACGAGTACAAGCATCTTGTACTTGTCTGCGTTGAATTCCATCCTATTCTCATCTGCCCACCTCTGTAACCTGTCTAGATCTAGTTGGATTCTGTCCCTCCCCTCCCGTGTGCCCACTTCTCCCCACATCTTTGTGCCATCAGTGAATTTGGACAGCGTGCTTTGCACGTCCACCTCTAAGTTGCTGATAAAGGTGTTGAATAGCATAGGCCCAAGGACTGAGCCTTGGGGAACTCCACTGCCCACATCCCTCCAGGTTGAAAATTACTTGTCTACCACCACTCTCTGGGTGCAACCATTGAGCAAATTTGCCACCCATCTGACTGTGTAGGCATCAGTGCCGCAGTCGCCTAGTTTTTATGAGAATGAGGTGAGAAAGAGTGTCAAAAGCCTTCTTGAAGTCCAGGTAGACAACATCCACCTCAACACCTGCATCCAAGCACTTTGTGACCTGGAGGGTGACTACTTATCTAGGCTGATGTTGGAAATGTTCCTTCTTCATTAGCTTGCTATGTCTTGTGAATGCAGACAATTTAAAACTGACTGTGTGGTCGTTCTCCACTTTAAGTCCATTGAGTAGTGTAGATGAAAGGAACTTCTCTGTGATAACGTGCCGATTTGTCTTTCTGGCAGGATGTGGACAATATTTACAACAGCCAAGACTGCCGAGAGTTCAACCTGTTGGACTTTAGCCACCTTGAGAGCAGGTAAGCCTTCGTGTAATTCTGTCATCAGATAGGATTACTCAAGATGGAGAGGGGTGGCAAACTACATTTTGCCTATAGCCACCCTGAAAATATCTTTAGACAGAGAGGCCTGGTCCATTTCTGGCTAAACCTTAATGCAAGGGAGTATTTAAAGTGAACTGTGCTCTGAAAAGTGACACTGTAATGGCCTCTTCATGCTCTCTGGACTGGCTTCTATGTGGATCAGAATCAGGCCTACTGGTTTTAGTGACTGAGGGCAAGCTTATGCACAAACTGGCACCAAAATAAGGGAAGCAGTTTTAGTTCCCACCTTTTACTTCAGGTTAACTTATTCTATCTGAAATCTTTTTTTTTCTCTTTTGCTAACAGGCTCAGTTAAAACAAGGGTGAAGTTATATGTTACACTGAGACCATACTAAGGGCACTTAAAATACAAGAATCTGCATGTTAATGAGTGATAACTGCGCTAAGTGCCTTCTGAGTAGCTCAGAGTTACACCACTTCAGGCAAGTGTTAACTCTGGGCTGTGCTACCTACCTCGTGTTAGAGTAACTTCAGTCTGCTCCACAGAGATAAAACAAGCAATCTTCAGTCCTCCAGTATCCCAGGATGCTCCATTCCTG